GGTGAGTGTGGGGCTGGGCCCAACCCACACTGCCGGGGCCGGCCCCCCTGCTAGTGCCTGAGCCACTGTGGGCCCCACGGGGCCCCCAAAGCCTAGGGCCCACAGCAGTTTCCCCTGGACAAGATGGCTCTGCTGGCCCCTTCCCCCCACGGCATTTGGGGGACACATGGCCCTGCATGCCCCCCCCCACTCATCGCCTCTGCCTTCACTGCTTCCAGCTATTGTCCAGGGCGAGGGCTGGTGTTTGCTGACACCCTGAGAAAGGGGCAGCTACCCAGCTTCCGCAGGCGGGGGGAAGGGGCCCAAGGCCCTGAAGAGCTACGGTGTGGGGCATTGACAGCAGAGCTAGGCCGGAAGCCACTCGGCCTCGCGGACGGACGGAGCCGCGGGCGAGGTTTCACAAGTCCTGCCTGCAGCGTCGCTCCTTGCAGACAAAAGTCCCCTCGCCCCGATTTCTCCCTGCGTGGCCGGGCTCCCCCGCCGGTCCGACTCGGTCCGGGAAGCGCCTGCCCCTTCTCGCCCGTCTCCTCGGAGGGCTGGGCGTTGTGGATGGAGGCGGCGGGCGGGGAGGAAAGGGCCGTGAGCGGGCACTGGTGGGTTAGAATCGTTGGAAGCCGTCAGCTCGGAGAGGCGGTGGAGGGGGCAGAGCTGAGCAGGAGACCGCAGGCTCCAGAGCCAGAGAACACAGATGGACTTTAGACAAGGAGCCGGCCCGGGAGGGCTCGGGGGAAGTTTCTGTCCCTGAAGATACCCACACGGGACAGAGCAAGAAAAGGCCTCGTGAGGAGCAGCGAGTGAGAGCGTGTTGGAGAGAGAGGACGGGTATTTAGGAGCGCACGCGGGGCAAGCGGACTTCAGTGTGTCTCAGCTGCCTCGTGCCGAGCTTGCCTCTGGCTGTGCCCCGCCTAGGACGCGTCTCTCGCCGCGAGCAGAGGGGGCCGTGGAGGTGGGAAGCCTTCGGGGGAAGTTACGGTAACGACTAATTCCCTGTCAAACGGCCTCGAAATGCCGGTCGGCTGCGGGAGAGGGCGAGTGGACCCAAGTGAAAAATTTCCACAGTGTCTCTTCGTAATTGAGCAGAGCAAGAGCTGCCGGTGGCAGGGGAGACGCCCCGTGGCCCCTTCCTCCCGCCTGCGCTGGCACCACCAGGGGAAAGCTTAGTGGGTTTGCTCCCTGTCTCCCTCTCCCCCTCCCGAGCATCTTCAAAACCGTCCTGGCAGAATTGCTCCTCCCACTGCTCTCAGAGGTCCCACTTCTCCGGCTGCTTCAAAAGGAGCATGTGTGTGAAGCTTGCGGCCCGGCGAAGACGGGGGCGTACGGACCGGGCATTGGAGATGGCAACGGGATTCCTGTTCCTTCCCGTAGGACGTTAGACGCTGGCGAGGGCGCAGTGGGGAGGAATCCTTCACTGGATGGTTAGACCCTCTCCTGTTCATTTCTTCTCCTCTCCTGCTGTTTGCACCCGTCCGGGGCCTGCCACCCTCTCCCGCCGCTGTCCCTTGGCCACGCCATCCACGGACTCAGCTCTCCAGTCTTTCCTCCGGAATGGATCCTGCCAGCCCCGAGGGTTTTGTTGCTCTTCTCTGAACTCCATTGAATGTGCCAGCGTCTGTCTGGTCCCCAAATCCCCAGGGCTGCAGTGAGCCAAAAGAAGGGACGCCGGAGGCTCCGTGAAGAGCCAATGGTGCATCCCGCGCTGCCCCTGCACGCCGCCCTCCCCATCGGCACACGGACGCTGGCTCGTTACTGCCCCCGGGCTGCACTCTCCCGCCACCGCTGCTCGTTACTTCTCTGCCTCTCTGGTCCTTCCGGGGCGTTAATTGGGACTGGAGTGACTATGGATGCTGTCAGCACGCGGCTAGAGCCCCCTGTCTCCGGCTCATTGTTACGCCTCCTTCTTGAGGCCCTACGCGGGTCCCAGGAGGAAATCCACAAAGACTCTGTCCCCTGCTCCAAGGCATCCTAAGGGAGAGCACATAACCCCAAACTCAACAAGCAGCCCTGAGACAGCCAGTACCTTACTAAGGGGGGAGGGATAGCTTGATGGTTTGAGCATTGGCCTGCTAAACCCAGGGTGGTGAGTTCAATCCTTGCAGAGGCAATTTGGGGCAAACATTTGTCAGGGATGGTACTTGGTCCTGCCATGAGGGCAGGGGACTGGACTCAATGACCTCTCAAGGTCCCTTCCGGCTCTGGGAGACAGGCAATCTCTGTTAATTTTTTTAAAAAAAAGGGCCTTGGATCGAGTTGTGTTAGATCATGGCTTAGCAAACCTGCTTTGGCTTTAGGACCAGCAACCCCCCCTCACCCGCTCCTCCCCTGCCCACTACCAATGACCTAGGGGGGCTAGTGAGTTTTCCAATCGGTTCTTGATCTCTGCCAAGGTTTAACTCTCTGCCACGCTCCCGCCCACAAAGGTGGCTCAGACGTTCCCGAGCAAGGCCTGGACAACAGGCTCAGGAAGACAAAGAGCCAAGTGACTTGCGCCCGGAGCTCCGGTGACACGTGCTTTGTGTGCGGAGGCCTTTCCAACGCCCCCCAGCCTTGTTTCTGTGTGCGGCTGCCAAAGGTTGTTTGAGCAACAGAAGGAAACGGCAGGGGGGTTTCTGGGTGATAAAAGTGAGCCGCCGGGGATAGGATAAAACACACCCCAGGGCTCCACCCACGCTGCCCCATTGGGGCACGCGCTGACTCATGGTTCATTGCAGCTAGGGAGAGGAAACTTGGTTGCAAGGTTGGAATCTCTCCTGCCGAGGGCCGTGGTGCGGCTCTGTCAAGCGACAGCCGCGGAGGAGCCCAGGAGAGCCGATTGCCGGGCGCCATGTGGGGAGAAGAACATAAAGCTCCCTTCGTGGTCACGATGTCCCGATTGTTTAGTGACACGCTCCAGGTCTTAGCTGCCCTCCGATTCCAGCCAGGCAGGCAAGATCCCTGCTTGTGCCAACCGTGGTGTCAGCCAGTGCGAAATACGTCCCCGTGGCCGAGTCGGAGAGGCCACAGAATCCCAGGGAGGGAGGAGACCTCGAGAGTCACCGAGTCCAGCCCCCTGCCCAGAGCAGGACCAACCCAACTCCATCAGCCTAGCCAGGCCAGGGTGCACCCTCCCAGCGGGTCCTCTTCTTTAGCACGGGGAGGGGGCTGGTGGGCTGCTGGAACTGGGGAAAGCTCACACTCCAGGCCTGCTGCCCCACACCTACCCTGACGGAAAGGAAGGTGGGGCTTGCCCCCGCCAGAGGCCAGAAGGCCCCAGCTGAGACCCCTGGCTCAAGGCCATGGTGGATCGAGGATGGCTGTGTCTGGATCTGTGGTCATCTGCTTTCTGGACCCTGGTGGCCAGCTGGCCGATGCTTTCCCTTTCCCTCTGTCCCCCAAGCTGTTACCTCTGCGCTGGCTTATCCCTGCGCCCAGCCGGCTGCCTGCTCCAGAGTCGTCATCTGACTTCGGCTCCTGGCTCCCTGCTCTTCTCGTGACCCCCGCCTCCCCGCTTCCGTGGCTGTTCCTTCCTGCCTCCCTTTTCTCCCCTCTCCCTGCCTCCCCGCTTCCGTGGCTGTTCCTTCCTGCCTCCCTTTTCTCCCCTCTCCCTGCCTCCCCGCTTCCGTGGCTGTTCCTTCCTGCCTCCCTTTTCTCCCCTCTCCCTGCCTCCCCGCTTCCGTGGCTGTTCCTTCCTGCCTCCCTTTTCTCCCCTCTCCCTGCCTCCCCGCTTCCGTGGCTGTTCCTTCCTGCCTCCCTTTTCTCCCCTCTCCCTGCCTCCCCGCTTCCGTGGCTGTTCCTTCCTGCCTCCCTTTTCTCCCCTCTCCCTGCCTCCCCGCTTCCGTGGCTGTTCCTTCCTGCCTCCCTTTTCTCCCCTCTCCCTGCCTCCCCGCTTCCGTGGCTGTTCCTTCCTGCCTCCCCTTCCTCCCCTCCCCCTGCCTCACGTGGCTGTTCCTTCCCACCTCCGCTTCCCCTCCTCTCTCCACCTCCCCACTTCCGTGGCTGTTCCTCCCCTCCCCAACCTCACGTGGCTGTTCCTTCCCACTTTCGCTTCCTTCCCTTCTTCCACCTCCCCGCTTCCGTGGCTGTTCCTTCCCGCCTCCCCCTCCTCCTGCCTCCCCTTCCTCCCCTCCCCCTGCCTCACGTGGCTGTTCCTTCCCACCTCCGCTTCCCCTCCTCTCTCCACCTCCCCACTTCCGTGGCTGTTCCTCCCCTCCCCAACCTCACGTGGCTGTTCCTTCCCACTTTCGCTTCCTTCCCTTCTTCCACCTCCCCGCTTCCGTGGCTGTTCCTTCCCGCCTCCCCCTCCTCCCCTCCTTCCACCTCCTCTCTTCCGTGGCTGTTCCTTTCTGCCTCCCCTTCCTCTCCTCCCTCCACCTCCCCTC